CGTGAAAAGAAAGAAAGAATCGAAAAGAAAGACAGAATGAAAAAGAAAGACAGAACGCGAAAAGAAAGAAAGAATCGAAAAGAAAGACAGAAAGAATCGAAAAGAAAGAACGTGACAAGAAAGAAAGAAAGAAAGAAAGAAAGAAAGAAAGAAAGAAAGAAAGAAAGAAAAGACGGATGGAGGGAAGGAAGGCTCTCAAGATATGAAGAAACAATGAACAAACTATTGAAAGGTAGATAGGAATAAAATAGCATAAAAATGTCGATAAAATGAAATTGAAATTCTTTCTGGACAGATAGAACAAGAGAAAGATAAAGAGAGGATGCAGTAGAAAATATTTTCTTATTCCTTATACTTTCTGCAATAGTGGATATGCCGATAGCGTAAATGTTATCGACGCGAAAAGTGGAATCGGTAAACCAATTTAAAATTCACGCCTACTCTACAAGCGTTATTTACAAAGCATGACTTAATTTTGGTACAAGGCCACAATCAAAGGGAGCCCATTGAGTTTTGAAAGGTTAAATTTCTATTTTGCTATGCTAAAGAACAAGAGTACTTTTTTAATCATTTCACCCTAAGCAAGGCAATAAAGCCACTAAGGTGCAAGGGGGTTACTGAGTGTAAAAACATGAGAAAACGTTAGCGAGAAGAAATGACAATAAAATAAGTTTCAAAAAGACAGAATATGGCGACTGAGGTAAGTGTATTTACTTGACCCCCCACTGAGTAAGGTTGTGACACAAGGTCGGTTTTAACGTGGGGACCCGAGTGAAAACACCGCTGGTCCAAGCTGGTCTTAGCTGGTCACAGCTTGTCCAAGCTGGTCAGAGCTGGTCTAAGCTGGTCATAGCTGGTCTTGACTTCTCATAGCTGGTGCAGACCGGAGCCGGTCCAAGCTAGTCGTAGCCGTGATACCACCAGCTCAGGGAGGAACCCTGTGCCAGGGAAGTGTAAATTAGGTGAAACAAATATAAACGATTGTTACATCAAGTCGTCTAACAGCCTCGGTAGCGCAGTAGGCAGCGCGTCAGTCTCATAATCAAATGTAAAGTAATCTGAAGGTCGTGTGTTCGATCCTCACCTGGGACATTGTTTTTCGCTGTCTGTATTTTATTCATAATTATATGTACAAACATCTCCCGTTATGGGAACAGGAATTTAGTACATTCTTTTAAGCTAGCATTCTGAAAACCTGTGTGAATACGCTAAAAATAAAATAATATATTTTCTGTTTTATAAGATGCATGAGAATGTAGACTGTATTTCATTCTCCGATGAGAAACTCCGAGAGAGAAAATGAATACCAAATGCATCCCAGCCTCAAAGCAGATTCTCTGAGAGAGAGAGAGAGAGGGGGTGGAGAGAGAGAGAGTACGAAATGTACCCCTATCCCAAAAGACTTTCCATGTGAATAAAAGGATAAAGAATGTACTCCAATCTCAAAGGGCGTTCCCTGAGAGTGAGAGAATATAGAATATACTACAATCTCAAAGGACGTTCCCTGAGAGAATAAGTGAATATCGACTGTACCTCAATCTCAAAGGACGTTTTCAGAAAGTGAGTGAATATTGAATGTACTCCAATCTCAAGGGACGTTCTCTGAAAGTGAGTGAATATCGACTGTAGCCTAATCTCAAAGGACCTTCTCTGAAAGTGAGTGAATATTGAATGTACCCAAATCTCAAGGGACGTTCTCTGGGAGTGAGACAATATATTATATATCTCAACCGGAAAGGACGTTCCCTGGGAGAGTGAGAGAATACCCAATGTACACCTATCCCAAAGAACTTTCCTGAGAGTGAGAGAATATAGAATGTACCCCCATCTTAAAGGACGTTTCCTGAGAGAGTGGGAGAATACAGGATGTACCTCAGTCTCAAAGGACGTTCTTTAAAACAGTGAGTGAATATCGAATGAACCCCAATCTCAAAGAACGTTCTCTACAAGTGAGTGAATATCGAATGTATCATCTCGGACGTTCTCTGAGATCGTGAGAGAATATAAAATGTACTCCAATCCCAATGGATGTTCCCTGCGAGAGTGAATATCAAATGTACCCTAATCTCAAAGGACGTTCCCTGAGACTGTGAAATAATATAAAATGTACCCCAATCCTAATGGACGTTCCCTGACAGAGTGAGAAAATATCGAATGTAACCTAATCTCAAAGGAGTTCCCTGAGAGAGTGAGAGAATATCGAATATACCCCAATTTCAAGACATTCTGAATGAGAGAGAGAGAGAGAGAGAGAGAGAGAGAGAGAGAGAGAGAGTGAGAGAGAGAGAGAAAGTATACCCCCGCCTTCAAATTACGGCCTTTAGGAGTAAAGCTGAAAAAAAGGGGATCTGCGAGGATCGGATTTGATCCAGCGAGTCAATCTTGCTAACCAATACACCACGTTGAAATGCTCGCAATGATTTTCTAAACGTAGCTTAGATATGACACAAGGCCGAAAATGTGGAGCACTCACTGAGGATCGCATATCGCTACTCAGTCGTAACTTATCCAGTGAGACATGCTTGTTGATCATTACATCACGACGAAGTGCCAACAACTAGATATTTATGCATTTACGAACTTTATAAATGAATGTAGCGTTCAACCACTCGCAACAGGCCCTGACCATCTTAACCAGTAATTCTTAAGCCTTTTTTTTTCTCCATCGCTGCATATGTTACCAATTCTTGCATTATATCGGTGCTAGTCATCGGAAGTAAGTTGTGACGAGAATATCCAAGCAGTGAGCACTGTCTTCTATATGCTTTGTCCCTTCAGGACGTGAGCGGTCATAGCTCTCCACAATTTCCTGCCCTTTGTAGCTCTTTTCGTCATTTTGCTATTCCCTCCTAAACTCTGTCCTACTTCGTCAGGTAGGTTATGAGCGGTTTTTCTCTGGACTTACAATATGTCATGTAAGTGTCAAATTTTCCATGCCTGCTTTCCTCATTATGTGCCCTAGAAAGCTCAACAGACTCTTGTTTCTATTTTCTTTCAAACTTCGTCCTTGTTCACATGCTCAGTCCATGATATTCTCAGCATCCTTCTGTAGACCCACATTTCTGTTGCTTCAAGTCTCTTCTCATCTGTGAGGAGATTGCCCAACATTTACTACCATATAGGAGGACTGATATTACGTAACAGTTCAATACTTTTTTATTCTAATAAAATTTTCCTGTTTCTTAATACTTTGCTTAGCTTTTGGAAGGCATATGGACGTCAGTTTACTGATTTTTATTTCGTATACATATTGCAATTGCGACTAAATGTTTAAAACAGTGTATCAATATACAAAAGAGAATAAAAGGCAAAAAAAGCGTATATAACATTATGTAACTTGTCCCAATCTATGTTCAAAAGCTGAAAGTTCTAGATTCAGGATTGTCCCTAGTGGATTCAAGCTTTGGTTCGAGGATTTGGTGATATAGTCATTGTGCGTTCAATCCCTGTGCTAGGTAGTTCATACATTAACTCAACAGAATCCTACCGTCAAGCCCCTCATAAGCAAGGAGAATAAAAAAAAATGCAAGTCTAACCTTTACAAACGAGAACGTAGTTTGGACCGAATGAAAAAAAAGCGTGTTCTTCATCTATGAAAACAATTGTAATTTGCATGCAAGCAATATGCCGGACAACGTTAAGAAGATATTTCGAAACTGGGATGATCTTTGGCGCCAATGGTGGCCATTGATTCGGTTACATAGCAACATAGTAAATGTTGCAATATAGATTCTTATTCTTTTATGTGCCGTGCGTGATACACGCTTAGGTTAGGGAATCATGTATCGAAAGATACATGACTGACGAGGCAGTAGGTTGCCATTTCTTTCTGCAGTAAACTAGTTGCCAACCAAGGCTATAGAACCTAGTCTGCCCTGCTATTTACCCATAGCCGGGGGAGGGGAGAAGAAGAGGATTCACACCTTTCCCAAGGGTATTAGCACGTAAGTGAATGTAATGGATTCGACTAGGATTCGAACTCGGCTCTCCGATTCCTCAATCTGAGCCGCTATCAATTACTCCACCATATATAAGATTCATAAACAATTAATAAACAATACCCTGTTACTACGCTAGGAGCATCGTTATTCGTTGTTCAAGTCCCAGTAAAGTCAAATGTTAAACATTGTTTTTCGACGCACTTGGAAGAGAGGCAGAGCAATAGGTCAGTGCCTCATTATCCCATTTGACCTGCGTCGAAATCAGGGACTACCTCGATCATTCGCGATATGAGCAATGGTAAATTTCAATTTCGGAAGAAAAATTACGTCGATAGCCTTTTAACGGTTCTCGCAATTCTTTTATAATTTAAATTTGTTAAAGATGTTGATAGTCAAGCGATATAACACTACAACAAATATTACTGAGCCGATAAAACACAATTCAAACCGTTAAGATAAGTTCAGGTATTGTATAATGTCGATAAAAGTCAAGTGATGAAGCAATAAGTTCAGCTGTGATAGATAGATAGATAGATAGATATGAACAAATATATATATATGAACATAGATAGATAGATAGATAGATAGATAGATAGATAGATATGAACAAATATATATATATGAACATAGATAGATAGATAGATAGATAGATAGATAGATAGATAGATATGAACAAATATATATATATGAACATAGATAGATAGATAGATAGATAGATAGATAGATATGAACAAATGTAGGTATGAACAGGCAGATATGAACAGTGATAGATATAAATGATCAGAGATACAACGATAAATAGTTATGAACAGATAAATAGATAGATATGAACAGACTGAAATAACAGACTGATATGAAGAGAACAGAGATAGATATGAACATAGATAGATAGATAGATAGATAGATAGATAGATAGATAGATAGATAATGAACATAAATAGATTGATATGAACAGAGATAAATATGAATAGAGATAGATATTAGGTTGGTGCAAAAAATAATGTAATAATGTCGTTTTTGACGTACTTTTCTACGTCAAAAAACGACATTCTTACGTCATTATTTTTGCACCAACCTAATAGATAGATAGATAGATAGATAGATAGATAGATAGATAGATAGAAGATAGATAGATAATGAACATAGATTGATATGAACAGAGATAAATATGAATATAGATAGATAGATAGATAGATAGATAGATAGATAGATAGATATAAACAGAGATAGATAGATAGATAGATAGATAGATAGATAGATAGATAGATAGATATCAAAGCATAAACTCAGACCAATAGAAAAAAAATTGAGATAGATATGTACCGTCTGAGATAAAGACAGACAGATGTAGAGATAAGACAGACTGACACAGCGATTTACAAATGAACAGGCCGAAAATAGATCCTTTCATAATAATTTCCACCTGCGCGTCGAAAAGTAACAGCACTTATGGCCAATGTTGTCTCTGCATCCTGTTACTCATCGCGACATTTTGACTGCCATAAAACGAAAGAGAATTCCTCTCCTTTCATATTTTCAGCCAGAATTGTTTAGCATTTAATTTTACGAAGACAGAAGCATGAGTAGTGCATTATGTTGTTTTGGGATACACCCAATGCCTCCACACACTTCCTGCCCCTTAAAGTGCAAATGTGTTTTTCGGCCGTGTGAAAGGTCATGGTATTTGGTTCAAATTACGAAACAACAATCAAAACTTCTCTTTTCTTCTTCCCCTGGGCGAGCAAATTCAATCCCGCCTTCCACCGACATAATCCCTGAGCCCTTTTGTTTTCGTAATAAGTTCGCCACTAATTTGTTGCTACCGACTAACTTCAATTAGCAAAATGGCTCCAGCCGAACAATAAACAGAACGCGGTAAAAAAAAAAAATATATGATCGCACACGCGCATGCGCAGAAAGATACGCAGACAGTCAACAGAGTAAAGGTTAAACCCAGTAAAACTTTGCCACTAGCAGACGTCTTTTCTCCCGACTGACAGCGAGTGTGTATGACGATGGTTTTTTACACTGATCACACTTAACTTCGTATAGCAAAAGGTCAGATGACAGAAAATACAAGAAGAAAAGTTGTATTTAAAACTGTTTTAAAAATTTACTTTTCCACATGAACTTGGAACGCGACTGAAAAGTCCGCTGACAAAGGCGTAGCGACCTCAAATATGAAATGGAGACTCTCACTAAGCTGTCTGGCGCATAGCTACAGTAGTAAACCACTCAGTGAGGATTGAACTCACTATTCTGTCGAATTGATTTTTGATTTGATTCTACTCTCGCTACGGTAAACTATATATGCGCGCGCGTGTGTGCGTGTGTGTGTGTGTGCGCTCGCGCGCTCTTGATAATTTCGGTTGAGCACTTTTGAGATAGAGGGTAATTCTAAACAGTAGCCGTTTCCGCTAGAGCAATGCTTTTCATTAAATGAATAGAGCACTATGGCTCCCTGGTGTTTATTTGCATATAATACGCTAGAATTTCTCTTTGCCTCTGCCGTGCGCTGATAGCTCAGGGGTGGAAACTCCAACTGATGCCACATCGATGGGGTTTTGATTCGGGCTTGAAAAAGTCGTATGTCTAGCTGCACTGCTGAGCTGTGATACAGCGAAACAGGCCTGTATGTGGATTGCATTACATTTATATGGCTGGTAGCTTAAACTATTATCCTCTCACATGAAACTACAAAAATGGTTAAATGTTTCAATACAAACCATTTTTATTAGCGCCTTGTTGGTTTATATATATATATATATATATATATATATATGTTTGAATAAAAGACAGACCACGTTAAGATTCCATGTAATAAGCTATTTCACCATAACCCCTTTAACAGGGTTCTGGATCATCAGACTTTACTTCCAAAAGCTGAAATGAAAAATGAAAAGAAATTCAGACGTTTTTGACGGACCTCATCAAGTATACGCAAAGTTAACGAAGTGAGGAAGTGAGGTGGGAGAGAGGATATGAGTGTGTCATATGTATCATTTTAGTTTCCTATTTTAACCCCAGTGTGTTGGCTGGATGTTGCTCAAATTTAACGCGTCTCGTCTCTAGATAAAGGTGGTTAAGGGGTGAGCGATAAGAACTACATTAAAGGAAGACGTTACAACAACCCCAATAAATTACAGGACAGGTCTAAGAATTTGAATGAAACCTGTCGTGTCGTTAACTTTGCGTATACTTGATGAGGTCCGTAAAAAACGTCTGAATTTCTTTTCATTTTTCATTTCAGCTTTTGGAAGTAAAGTCTGATGATCCAGAACCCTGTTAAAGGGGTTATGGTGAAATAGCTTATTACATGGAATCTTAACGTGGTCTGTCTTTTATTCAAACATATCTGCTCTGAATTTTACATTGAGCTCTCTGGATATCATCCTCCTCAGGTCTACCCATACGGATTACCTAAATTTGCATAAACTATATATATATATATATATATATATATATATATATATATATATATATATATATATAATGTGTATGTATATAAATATATATATAATTTAAGTATAGTTTATATATATATGCAATTTTTTTATATATGTTATTTATATATTATATATGCATGGTACTTATTAAAAAGCGCTCAATATCAGTGTTAGAGCAACAATATTTAGTTGGATTGATGTGAGTTTTTGACCCTGGGTTTCACGCTGTTTGCGATCGTCAGGCAGTTTGTCTGACGATCGCAAATAGCGTGAAACCAGCCCAAGGTCACAAACTCACATCAATACAATTATATATATATATATATATATATATATATAATGTGCATCCCCAATTTCACGTTACCTAAGGTTTAAAATGAATTTTTAAAAAATATACATCATTCTTGAAACTTTTATTTTAGTTTTAATTCCAACCTAATAAATTAAATTTTAATGTTTCCAATAATCAAAATACTTTGCTCTATTTCAAAACTAATTTAAATTAACTGAAATAAGTTCTTTTCTCTTTGTTTCTGTTTTTTGCTAAAAAAAATTGATTTTAACGCCATTTTTCGCCTACGTTTATTTCAATGTAATTCTCTTTATTAAAAAAAATCTTCTAAAAGCAAAATATACTTTTCTGAAATTATATTTGAGGAATATTAGCTGATACAGAATATAATTAATCTAATTTGAAACAAATATTATTTATTGATTAAAATATCACAGAAATGCATTTTATAAGACGACGTGATCATATTTAAACGGAACGCTGATCTCATAAAAGATTTTAGTTATCTGTTTGGATTGGTATTGCGTTCATGTCCATCGTCTTTTTCATGTTGAATTGTATATGGTCTATGTTAATTATGTTTTATGAATATGTCCTGAAGATGGTCTATTAGACCGAAACGTCCGACGTTGACATTAAACATTAAAACAGCATAATCGCACATTAGGATTTTTGTTTGTTTTTTCAGTATATTTTTCATTTTATATATATATATATATATATATATATATGAGAACAACAAACAACTACTACCACCAAACAAACAAAAACAACTTATTTATTTACTTATATATATATATATATATATATATATATATATATATATATATATATTATAAGATGAAGCAATTTTCTAGGCGGAAAATTCTTGATAGTGCCGCTATCGAATGTTATCAAAATATAAATCTACGCCCCGGATTTTCCAAATATCTTAATTCCTGAAAGAATTATTCTTTTCCCAAGTCAACATCAATGACTATAAATGGTAATTGTTCTGGTGAACTTTTCTCTACGGTAAAAAATTTATGAATTTTAAGCGCTGTACTAGATTAAAAGACACGTCTCATCATTTTACAATTGAAATGGCTGAATATAACCGTAAGTTTTATGCTAGTAGTTTCTTCTACCGCACTTCTCGCTTGTAGAACTCTCTTCCGTCTTCTTGCTTTCCAGTCAGGTTTGATCTTCAAAAATTTAAATGCCATCCCAATCGTTGTCTTCTTAATTCATATTTGTTGTATCGTCGAAGTGAATGATACTCAGAAAAGAATGAGTGATTAATATATTTATTCAGCACCAGTATCCGGTGCTAACAGATACATATAAAAAAACGCAGAACAATAAGTTACAAAACAATTAACAAGACAACTTACAAGGAATTGAAGAGGTTCAAATGCTGTATAGCCAAACGAAGTAAGATCAGTCCGAATATTAATCAGCTTAGTATCAACTTATTAATCAACCGTTGAAATCCTTAATCGTAGACTATTTAGGGTTATGGGCCAGTCCATCTGGTAGAGTGCTGAAGGGGTGCTAGCTACACTACAACAATATTCTTTTATAGATCTCGCTTCTTAACATTTTTTTTTTCTCTCTCTCTCTCTCTCATATTCTCTAACACTCAATAACCTCTTGCGTCTCAGTGGCTTTACTTCCTTGCTTGGAGTGAAAAAGCGAAATGTGCAGCCCACTGAAGTCATTTTCATGACCCCTTCTGTAGCTAAACGGAATATATTTTCGAAGGAATGTTGCATTTTAAATGATCAAACATTTTAGGTTTGAAATTGATCATTTTTCCGTCAACGCAACAATTGGGACTAAACTAGTCTAGTTAATTTCAAAAATGATTTGAACCTCTTTACCAAATGAGGTCGATCGCCTTTCCCTTGTGTCAATTTGTAAGAGTCTGTCTACTACAAGAACCTGTCACGACCACTTGTACTGAACCAACAGCTCTTTAGATTAGTTTCCATTTTGATATATGCGTGGGGGTTGGTATTTCGTCCTCGTTTAGGAAATACTAATGCCTCAATTATTATTTAATCTTAGTTGCCTCCTGCAAAGTGCCTGAAAACTGTTCATAATAAATAACTCGCTATTATCTCTGACCTTGGACTCTATACCAATGCAGAAATCATATATATATATATATATATATATATATATATATATATATATGTATGTATGTACACATATATATATATATATATATATATATATATATATATATATATATATATATATATATATATGACAATAGGCTAACTACAACTAAAAACATCCCCCTTGAAAATGACTAGAGAAGTAGCCGAAAGTGTATGGGACAATCGACGATATGAACAGTTTGTGTACTCGTTCACACCCACCAAACCGAAAAATGTCCGTCATATTTAACAAAAGAAAAAAAAAAAAAAGTTTATGCCAAATATATATATATATGTGTGTGTGTGTGTGTGTGTGTGTGTGTGTGTGTGTGTGTGTGTGTGTGTGTGTGTGTGTATTGTGCTTATATATTTAAGTACCTCTAAAGACATTCTAAAAAAGACCATAACCTGATGAAAAAAGACCCCAAACTTGATAAAAAAAAA